GCAAGTTGTTCTTTGTAGTAGAATCGCTTCTGTTGTAGCCAAGCTTGCTGCCTATTTGCCTCAGTGCCCAAAATCAGAGCCCCGAATCGTCAGGGGTAACTCGGGTCAGGGATAACTCGGGTTCGTTTTTCGGGAATCCAAGCCCGAGTTACCCCGGACCCGAGTTACCCCGGATAACTCGGGCGCCCAGAGCCCCGAATCATCAGGGATAACTCGGGTCAGGGCTAACTCGGGTTCCTTTTCCGGGAATCCAAACCCGAGTTACCCCGGACCCGAGTTACCCCGGATAGCTCGGGCGCCCAACAAAACTTGACATTGGTCCTGGCGTCGAGCGAGTCGAGCCCCCTTTTCTCGCGCTGGTGCGAGTCGCCCAGCCAGGCCTTGCCATCCCTGGTCCTGGACGGGTCGTGTCTGGCAGTGCTCGCGCAGCGCGAGCCTTTGAGAACAGCCTGTCTTCAGGGGGCTCGTGCGGTGGACAAGCCAGCCCTGGGAAGGAGGAGGAGGAGGAGGAGAGAGGAGGGAGGGAGGAGGAGGGAGAGAGGAGAGGAGGAGGAGGAGGAGGAGGGGAGGAGGAGGAGGAGGAGGAGGAGGAGGAGGAGGAGGATGAACAGGAGGAGGAGGAGGAGGAGGAGGAGGAGGAGGAGGAGGAGGAGGTGGAGCGGGCGTCGGGACTCGCGGCTGCGATGCTCCGAGGATCTCGGTTCTGGGGCACAAGATGCTTGACCTCGATGTTTCCGACGGTCGTTTCCTTTTTGTTTGTAGTAGTTGCAAGTTTTACATTTGTGGTACATGTTCGTGGATTGCGCAAGGGTTGTGCGCCGCCCCCTCGTTTTGGAGCGCAGGGGAGAAAGCACGCCGGGAAGCGAATCTGTCAAGGTCGCCACCCCAATGTGCTCGGCGCCACTGTGGGCGTCGACCCATGGGCTCTTTTCCGAAGAGGAAGAGGATGCTTCTTTGTCTCCCGAGCCTCCTCTTTCTCCTTCGGAGGTGGATCCCGAGGATGCCCGAGGGCTGCGCGTCGTGGTGGCCTCTCTCCGCCTCCTCGGCGCGGCTTCGGGCTCGCGAGCGAGTGCTGCAGCTCCCGACGCGGGTGGTCACGAGTCGGGTTCAGACTACAGTCAACGATGATAGTAAGGATGAGGCTATTTTGCAAGGCTGCCCTTGCATCCTTGCCCCCTCGGTATCCGGCATCCTTCGGCAATTTGCTGCGCTCCGCACGGAAAACGTCAACGTGGCGTTCCAAGGCCCTTGCATCCTCACCGCGCATCCTTACCAGCCTGGCCGAGTGTAGACATTATGTTTCTCTCCTGCGGGCCTAGCCCTCCCGCTTGGGTGCAAGTGGGATGCGGTTCGCCGCTGATGGCAAACACAAGTCCTCCTCTTCCCCATGCTCCTCCTCTTTTTTCTCCTCCTCCTCCTCCTCCTCCTCCTCCTCGTCCTCCTCCTCCTCCTCCTCCTCCTCCCTCCTCCTCCTCCTCCTCCTCCTCCTCCTCCTCCTCCTCCTCCTCCTCCTCCTCCTCCTCCTCCTCCTCCTCCTCCTCCTCCTCCTCCTCCTCCTCCTCCTCCTCCTCCTCCTCCTCCTCCTCCGCCTCCTTCTTCTCCTCCTCCTCCTCCTTCTCCTCCTCTCCTCTCCTCCTCCTCCCCTTCCTCCTCCTCCTCTCCTCCTCCTCCTCCTCCTCCTCCTCCTTCTCCTTCTCCTCCCCCTCCCCTCTTTGTCTCCTCACTAGTACTGCTCCGGCTCTCGATCTCATTCCTTCCTGCCCGCCCCGTCGCGTACGTGCCTCTCTCGACCCCTCCTGCTGCCCGCCCCGCCTCCAGAGAAGCGCGCGGGCCGGGCCGGCGTTTCGCGAGCCGCGCCCTCGGGCGCATGCCCCGCCCCCGCCGCACATGCTTGCTCGCCACTGCAGAGGGCCAGGCAGAGGGGTGGCCGGGGGCGCCGAAGGTGGGGGTGAAGTCTCAGGGGGGCGCCGAGCAAGGGACGCAGAGGAGGCTGGCTTCTCACGAAGCCCATCCGCGGGCGTCTGGGACCCCCACCCTACGTGCACGACTCCTGGCCGTCGTGGGAGGCGAGGTCGGAGGCGCCGAAGGGGGTGGCGAAAATGCACACAAGGAATGTCATAACCAAAACCGTAAAACCTACCAGGTGTCATACTCTTATTCCACCACATGACCTGGCCACCCCACGCATCCAGTTACGATCAGACCAGGCAAGACAAACAAAGGTCAAAGACACGACAAGCACACAAGCAGGAGTCTACAAGGAGACACCGTGGCCAGGGCCGTGACAACTCTCAGATACCGTGTTCTTCCAGCACGTTGCCTGGCCGCCCCTCGTCCCGCACAAAGCAAACAGCGCGCATATGTGTTTGTTTCCACTCCTGTCGCCCAGAGGACCAAGTGGATAATTATACATGATACTTTGTCCGGTGGCGTTTTCTCGAAGGCCCATGGGACAGAGCCCAAACACACGCGCGGTTCACAGAATGGGGGGGGGAGATTGAAGGGGGGAATGACAACGATGTTTGTTGCATGCAGTTGGTTTCGACTCCACCGCCGTGCGCTTCCTCGATATCTGGGCGCTTGCAGCGCAGGGAGGCGCCGTGAAAATCAGCGACGTGAGCTGATTCGCTAACCCCTCGTTTACTACCCCCCCTGTCGTCCGACCATGAACACGCTGCCCTAGGTGCACCTGTCCTCCTGCCGCTCGGGAGCGCGTGAGCGGCGGAGGAGAGCGGGGCCGACTGCGCGGACGTTCGCGCGCATGCCTCCCGCGTAAGGTCGCGCGCAAGCACACTCCTCTCCACCCAGTGTGCCACGCTGGCGGCCCGCGTGGGCCTCGGCGTGAGGTTGTTTTTTCGCGTGAGAGTTGTTTTTCAGGAGGGAAAAAAACACACAGACACAATGAATCGTCGATTCCCTAGAAAATATGGGAAAATATGGGAAGTGGTGGGGAAGGCAGAAACCCAGAAAATATAGGAACATATGGGGAATCGTTTTATTTGTGTGTATTTATTTGTGTGTCCCGGGGCCCCTTCAGTTTTTCTGCATCGCCCACGTGACCCCACGGCGCCTGGCATCCGACCCCCGCCGAGAGGATTCCTCGGGACGTGTCTTGGTCCGGCGCGTGTTTCCCCCCCCGTCCAGCCCCACCCGTAGCACGCAGCCTGCGGCGGCCCTCAGCACACCACCAGTGCCGTGAGGAGGGACTTCGGTGGCCCGGCACACTGCCTGTAGAAACCATGACGTTTGGGGCGGAGGCGGAGGAGGAGGAGGAGGAGGAGGAGGAGGAGGGGGAGGAGGAGGAGGAGGAGGAGGAGGAGGAGGAGGAGGAGGAGGAGGAGGAGGAGACGACGTCGGCTATCGGACCACTCCCAGCACGTCCTCGCGCGCCCTCGCCCGGCGCCGCCCCGCACGCCCTGCTGCCGCCAAAGGGGGCAGGCACTGGCGGAAGAGCAGGACCAGGGGCGAGCAACGCGCGCCCCCCTCCTTGCTGCACCCAAGTGGGAGGGCGCTGCGGGGAGTTCAGGCCCAGTCCGAACGGGAGGGAGAACCACCCCGATCCCCAGCGTTGGCGTTTACTAGCTACTAGGCGGCCTTGGGCGTTGACCTCACAGCCCTGCGTTCTCGGCGGCTGTCCAGCCTCGAGATGCCTTCCAGCGGCTGCGCCTCGCCGAGGGCGTTCCCGGGGTGCTCTGATCGTCCCGAACGGCCGCCGAAGGCCCGATTCATGACCCGAAAACCACAATGCGCGGGATTACAGTGGGGGCGGGGTCGAGGAACATTGAAAAACCGCATCTGAAGCCCGCACCCCCCAATCCCGAAATTCGGGCGAAATTAGGGTCTTCGGGTTGGGTTGGGGTGATTCGGGAACAAGGCTGGACCTAAACGGTGTTTTGGCGATTTCGTGGGCCGTTTTCATTTCGATTTCGTCTTGCGGCAAATGTAAATTGAAGACAAAACGAGGGAAAACGAGAACAAAAGGAAAACGAAAAACACCGTTTAGGTCAGCCCTGTCTGGCAGGTAGTCAGGGATAGGCTCAGGGGGGACGCATCGACCCCCAATCGCCCAGTGACCCGATAGCTAGCCCAACCCGCGCAGGGCCGTGCGGATCTGCTATCGGGGGCCTGTCGACGACCGGTAGGCGATACGTCGCTGATTTTAGCTTTAAGTTGGGTGCGTTTCTCTACAGTGGAATCGGAGGTTGGGGGGTGAGATCGCAGTGGAACGGAGACCCCCAACCAGGAAATCGTTTCGTTTCGTTCGTGTCGTGCGTGCGGGCGAGGCGAAGCTGCATGTGCGCGCGAGAGGAATGAACCCGCCGTTGCTAGGGCGAAGTCAATACAAATGTTGCTCCTCCGCCTTCCGTCCAGCCGCCTTCCGTCCGGCGGTGGCCCGCGGTGTCCCGTGGTGTCCCGTAGTTTCCCGTCGTGTCCCGTGGTGTCCCGTTGAGTGAGATCGATAGTGAAGTGAGATCGATAGTGAGATCGATGTGGTGTCCCGAGGTGTCCCGTGGTTTCCCGTAGTGTCCCGTTGAGTGAGATCGATAGTGAGATCGATAGTGAGGCCGATAGCGAGATCAAGAGGTGTCCCGCGGTGTCCCGTGGTGTCCCTTTCTGGCCAGTGGTGTCCCGTGGTGTCCCGTTGAGTGAGATCGATAGTGAGATCGACAAGTGTCCCGTGGTGTCCCGTGGTGTCCCGTTGAGTGAGATCGATAGTGATATTGATTGAGTCAGATGTTGGTTCCCCTCTCCCCTCCACGCGCAACCTCCTTATCACCCGAAGGGTGGTCGTATAGGTATTCGAAAATAGTCAAAAATAGCAATGGGACGATTTTTGTAAACACATTGTTTGTCTATGTATGAATATGTGTTTATATAAATTTCATGTCCTCCAAAATCCGCCCGTAGGGGGACGTGCCCGACCTAACAGTAGGCGATACGTCGACGATTTCAGCTCGATGCTGCCCCCCCTCCCCCCCCTTCTGGTGTCCCTCAGACAGGCGCGGCTGGGCATCAGCTACGTGGAAGTGTTCGGCAGCGAGATCTCCGACCTCCTGGCGACTGGCCAGGCGGGATTGCCCGAATGTCGACACGCGAGCGGATTCCGAGGCAAATCCTTCGGCTCTCTTGCCACGGCCGGCCACGATGTCGTTGGCGGCTTGCTTGGTAGCGTCGGCGCCCGCAGGTTCATCCCTGCGGCTTCGACGCCGCTCAGACGCCCCATGCGGTGGGACAGATACCCACGTCGTATTGTTTTGTCCCCAGGGCCCTCATGCTCGTCCTCTCACCCCTCGTCTTCATCTCCCATCTTCCTCATCGAGGCGTGGTCAGGGCTTGCCTGAAGTCGGGCGTGTCCCTCTACAGGGGGAATATGCAAAAATAGTAAAAAAATAGTCTGGGGACGATTTTTTGACTATTTTTGAATATGTGGGGGGTATTTTAAGCGTATTTTTTTATTTTTTCGCCCAAAATCCCCTTGTAGGGGGACACGCCCGACTTAGGGCTTGCCCTGCAGGGGCTGTGACCCGCACCTGGCCTGCACCCCTGGTCCGCCCGCCATGCCTCCCCTGCTCAGGATGCAGCTCCTGGTAGGTTAGATTCAGTATCGGCGCTGGTATACGTTGTTCATTTCTAAGTATTCGAAAGTTCTTTGAACTTTTTGGGGGCAAGATCCTTTCATTTCTAAGTTTTCTATCCTGGGCCTCTTCCCTGCCCTTCGGGGTCCAGAAACAATTAGAAACGAGCACAATTAGAAATGAGCACGATTAGAAATGAACGGCGTGTATGTCCGTGGTCGGAGACAGGCACATTCTGGCAGAATCCATGCTAGCTCCGTTGAGTCCAGCTTCATTTGGCTTGAACGTGGGCTACGGAAGGGCAGATCCGAGTCAAGGGCCCCTTGATCGGGCCTCAACAGCCTTCAGTCGTTCGTACGATGAACTCTCAGGAGTTGCCTCCTGATCGGAAACTGGAACATATAAACATATATCTATATATTATCAGTAGCGGTCTGTTTTGCAATATCCGGACTTTTTGAGGGTCGGGGACGACGTCGGGGTGGTGTGGTGTATACCTTTTTCCTTCGCTTTTCCTGGGGATCAACGAAACATGTATACACCAGGATCCCGTCTGCACCAAGATCTGCTTTCCTGTGCGGGTGTCAGCGCGGGGCCGGAAAAAGCGTCGGTGGACAGAGTTCGGCTCCTCATTGGACTCGGAGGGCACCAGGTATACACCTACTCCGATCCGGACCAGGCCGATCATTGGCCCAGGATCCGTGTATGCCTTCACGGCTAAGGCAGAAGGACGGATGCTCCGAGCATGTGCCCAGGATGAGCCTGGCCAGGGTTGGTGTAGGTGCAGATTTGGCGTCTCCCTACTGACCCCCCTCCCAATTATTCAGCATCGTTTAAGCAACCCCTGGCCCCATCCCAGCCCCATTCCGACCCCCACCATCTCAGCATCCCACTTGGGGATTGCGGGCATACCCTTCGAAACCTGAGGAACACTACCAGAATCCCTATGTTGGGGGGGTCAATGGGCCAGTGGGGGCCCAAGCCACGCCCACGGAGATAGGGCTCGGTTCAACCATGCCCAGTTCTCCTGCTCCTCTCCTGGCCCCCCTGAACGATACCAGGGGAGCCTACCTGGATCGGGTCAGGCGAGGGCTTGCTCCCAAGGTGCTGAGTGCTGCCGAGAAGGCAGCACGCCCTCGACCATCTTGACTCGTATGACACCGTCCTGTTGCTATTATTTTTCCTACTCCTCCCGCTGCTCCCCCCGGCTCCTTCTCTTCCTCCTCTTTTTCCTCCTCCTTTCCCTCTCCTCCTCCTCCTCCTCCTCCTCCTCCTCCTCCTCCTCCTCCTCCTCCTCCTCCTCCTCCTCCTCCTCTCCTCACTAGTACTCCTCACTAGTACTCCTCCTCCTCCTCCTGCCCTGCCCCTGCTGCTCCGCTCCCCGGCCGCCGCCCGCTCCCCTGCCACCGCCCCCTTCCCCCCCGGCCCCTGCTCCGGGCCTCCTGCTTTGGGCCCCCCTTCCACAGGGCGCTGCTGCGTGCACACTGTCCATTTCTAATTCTTCGAAGGTTCTTTGATTTTTTGGGGGGCCAAGATCCTTTCGTTTCTGATTGCTCTATCCTGGGCCTCTTCCTGGCCACCAGGGGGGCCAAACATTGTAGCAAGTAGGAGCGGGTACAATTAGAAGTGAGCACGATTAGAAATGAACGACGCGTAGGTCAATTTACCCACAGGCGTCAAGCAGTATGCAGCCCCTGACCCTAGCTGCACAAATTGAGTCGTGGCCTAGCTCATGTCCTCGATTCTCAGGGTTGGCCCTAAACCATGTGTGGGTAGTCTCGCCTGGGGCACCAGCAGGAAAGACCCTCAATCCCTGATGTTTCTGGCCCTCTAACTCACGTCCCCTCCCAAAGGATCAGGGGTCGTTCGATTGCTCTCCACGCAGCAGCTCGGGCTGCCGTCAGCATGTAGCTCAGAGCCTGGCGCCGGCCGCACCTCGTGCTGCCTGCGCTACTCCTGCTCCTATCCGCCTGCCGGAGCTGAGCAGACTGGGTCACCCGAGGTCCTCGGCTCGGCTACGCGTACGCATCGGTCGTTGAAAGTAGGTACTTTTGGATTCCCAGATTCCAATCTACTTTAAGCGCCTTCCTGCTTCAATGTTCGAGTGGCTTCACCTCTTCCGTCCTCCTTAGGGGGCGGGCGGACACTCAATCTGATTTCAACGCCTTCCTATTTCATGTTTCTACCTACTTCCGACCGATGGGTAGCAGTGACTTTTCGTCAGAGTGATCCTCTGGTGCGGGTCCACCGGAACCCTCCCAGCATTGGCTTGCGCGCGCGGACTTGCCTTCCCCGCGGCTTCTTCAATCCGCGCACCAGAAGGTCACTCTGGCTCAGGGTCGGGGAACGAACAAGGACGCACACACATATAAACTGTGAGAGGTCCGCGCGAATTTCTCGGATCGGCGCTGGACCCCCTCCCTGGCGCGCGGAGCGCGCCAGGGGCGGCGCCAGGGGTGGCGCCAGAGGCGCCGCCAGGGGGCCCCAGCGCCAGTCCGAGAAATCCGCGCGGACCTCCGAAAGTTCACGTTTGTATCATTGTTCGTTCCCTTACAGTCGGCCCAGATTAGGAGGTCGACCCTGCCAAATCAAGGGTACTATTGTCTCCTGTGCATCGCGCGTCGTGTCCTCTGCAGCCCATGGGAAAGGTGTCCTTGCGTCCTGTGGTTTTGAAGGCCATGTTGCCGTCGGAAGAGTCTTGTGTCCTGTCGCGTGTCCTGTGCGCAATGTTCTGCCTGTATGAGGTCACTGACGTGTTGCCGACTCGACCGACCGACCGGCCCAGTCTACGTTTCAGCTGCCCGTCTCCGTCATAATGAGCGAAGCGAGTTCTGAGTGAGGCGGGTTTCATTCCCTTCCTTGTTGCAGGACAGCTTCGCGGGGGTTCGCAGAGGGGGGGTTCTCCCAAGGCGGGGCTAGAAAAAGAAGCTAGCTGGGTGTTCACATTCTCTTATTCCTGGAGCCGTTTAGAGCGATGTTCCTGAAACCCCACCTCTGACCTTACTCCACCTTTGCCTCCACCTCCCCCCGAAGCTCTTCCTCCCGGGCCGCGTTTGACAGACGGCCCCAGGGCCCGCGGAGAGGGCCCCCCAGGGGACCGGCGGCGGAAAGCCCTCACGATACCCTGCCTTCAGGACCGGCCTCCTTCGTGCAAGCCCCTCTCTGAAGGCCGCGGCCGTGTCCAGAACGTTCGGAGCCCAGACCCCCCAGCTTCGCGATTGTTCCATAACGTGGGCCCCTTCAGGTCTGGACCCCATCCCCAGGGCTGGCCCTTCATCCTGAGCAGCTTTTGGGAATGTGTAGCGAAAAGGCCTTCCATCGTGTTTTTGTTCACGACGCGAGCATGTCTTGGGAAGTCCTCTCCGGGCCGCGCCCGTCTCGTACGCGGGCTCAGCAGGTGGTCGGCCAGGGCGTCGAGGGCCGCTTCCACGCCGTCCGCGCCACCGACCGCGTCGGCCACCGCTACGTGCTCGACGGCCACAACGAGGCTCCCCAGCGGCGGGCGTGCCGGGTCGGGATCGAAGCGAAGACGTGCGCATACGGCGTGGGGCAGGTTTTCGGGCGGGGTCGTCGTTTTTTGGCGGTTATCCAGCCTCGGGTTAGGTCGGGCTTAGCCCCCTACAGGAGGATTTTCGACGAACAATTTTTAAAAATGCCCCAAAAAGGTTACAAAATAGTAAACAAATAGTCCCCAGACTAATTTTGGATTATGTTTTGATTAGTTTGGGGGTATTTTTTGCGTCGAAAATCACCCTGTAGGGAGACAGGCCCGACTTAAGCCCAGGGGTACCCTCCAGCAGCTGCGCCTCGCCGAGAGCGTCGCAGCGTCCCCAGGGGGGGCCTGGCTCCTCCCGAGAGGCCGCCGGGCACCCCGAGCTGTACCCCGAGGACCACCAAGTACGATAAGTTCGTGGGTCGACGCGGCGGCGGCTCCTCTTCCTCCTCCTTCTCCTCCTCCTCCTTCTCCTCCTCCTCCTCCTCCTCCTCCTCCTCCACTTCTCCTCCTCCTCCTACTTCTCCTCCTCCTCCTCCTCCGTAGCCATTTTGGCTCAAGGCCAACATGGTGTTCATTTCATTGCCGATCTGGGGTAGGCTCCCACAGCTATCAGTGCTCTTCGTATCCGCAACCACACTCACGGGCGAGCCACCGCCCACCGCAGCCACACTCACGGGCGAGCTGCCGCCCATTTCATGTTCCTCCCTCGCGTGGCTCGCGAGAGCTCCCTGGGAAGCAGAGGGACGATGGCCGCCGCAGATCGTGGTGGAGGGACCGCCCCTGCTGACGGAGGAACCGCCGCCAACCCTGGCGGCACCAGGCCGCGACGTGCACGCCCTGAAGGCGGACGAGGCTCGCCAGCAAGGTTCGCAAGCCAATACATAGTTTGCAAGCAGTGCCGATACCGATGGACATGGAAGGGGAAGTCCGAGTGCTACTACTGTGGCAAGCAGCTGGCTCCATCGCCTGCCGAACACCGCCAGCCCACAGGGGCTTGGGCAGGAGCCAGCAAGCCACCGCCGTGGAAGGAGCCGCCAGTGGCCGCCGCCCCGACAAGGGACGCCATCTTCGCCACGCTCAGCACGCTCCTCAGCGACACCAAGCACGCCGAACTCGTCGGCAACCTCAAGGACGCCCTCCAGCAGCCCGACAAGCCTCAGCCTGCCCGCACAGCAGAGCAGGTGCTCCAGTCGGCGCTGTCAGTCCTCACCGACAGGGAGAAGAAGTTCAAGCAAACGGTCGACGACGTCGAGGCCGCCAAGCAGTGGTACGACGACGCCGTGGACAAACAAGAGTAAGCCGCCCTGGACCTCGCCCAGGCACAGAACGCATGCGGCAAGGCACAAGCTGACCACAGTGCCAAGCTTGCTGGAGCAGTACGCGGAGCACCACCTGTGGGGCCTCAGGAAGCTTTTAAGGTCGACAGCTCTATGTGGGACGACCTTTCCATCTACGACGAGGGCACCCGCACCCAGATGGAACAGTGGAAGCAAGAGCTCGACCAGCGCCTTGCCGAGCTCAACAATGGCCAAGAAAAAGTTCGTGAGCTCCTACGCCAAGCCAAGGAGTCCACCACCAACCCTGCGAAGCGAAAGAGGCCGAATGGGGAGGCACCTGCTGCTCAGCAACCTGCTCCTGAGCCTGGGCACCCTCCCGCACCACCAGCGGAACAGCAGCCAGCGGCCGCGCCTGGAGGACAGGCACAACCTGGCACGCCAGGAGGTTCCGCCGCCCCACCTGCTGAGCCACGCCAGCCTGGAGGGGCCCCTGGACCCGCCGCAGCCGCCCCTGCCGCCGACGAGCCCTCCGTGGAGGACCGCAAGGCCGCCGCCGAGCTCATCGCCACCGCCGCCAGGGCCAGGGAGCTGGCCTTCGCAGCGAAGGGCATTGGCAAGGGCGCCACCACGGTGCCAGCGGCAGCGGCAGGAGCCCCACCGTCGCTGGGGTAGCAGCAAGCAGCCTCATCGGCTTAAGGGGCCTGGGAACCGCGCCAGTGAGTCCCCCGCGGCAGGGGCGCCCGCCCCTTAAGCCAGAGCAGGCAGCGCAGATCCTGTTTGGCAACATAACGGCATGGGGCCCGCAGGCCGCGAACTTCTGTCGCAACGCAGGGTACAAGTACCACCTCATAGCTCTAGCGGAGACGCACGTCGACGCGAACGGCCTCACGGAGCAGATCGGCAAGCTCGCCATGGACGGCTGGAAGCTCTCGGCCACACCCGCGGTGGCTACCAACAAATCGGACAAGGGGACCCATGGCGGCGAGTGGATCCTCACGCGCAGGGACGTGGCGGCGACTACGTTCGAGGGCTACAGGGACTACTATGTCAAGCGCCACAAGAGGCAGCCATTCGTGGGGTTCACGCCGACGGTCCTCCGCACCAAGAGCGGCAACATAGTCGTCGTGGCGGCGTACCTCCGCCCTGGCCTACGGGACCAAGGCGCGAACAGGGACATCCTGGTCTCCATCTCCACCTTCGTGGACATGCTCATGGACCCGTGGATCATCCTGGCCGACTGGAACTACGAGCCGCACTGGTGGGACAACAAGCCGTGGCTCACGCGCTGGAGCGGAGCCATCCTGACTGACCCGATCTGCGAGGCGACGTGCGACAAGGGCTCGGGCTCCGTGTACGACTACGCGATCGTACGGGCGGACATCGCCACGCACGCCGGGATCGAGGCCATCTACGACGTCCCCTGGAAGACCCACTGCGGCATCCAGATCACGGTGGGCACCGCCGAGTTGTGGCAGTACAAAGCTATAAAGGTTCCCAAAGCCCTCCCCGCACGAGCCAGACCCAAGAAGGTCGCGGACCCGAACAGCAAAAGGTCCGAGGCTCGCGCGGAGGCGTTGCGAACCAGGAGGGAAGGGCTACCAGAGCACTTGCGCGACGAGTTCGGCGCCCTGTACACCAACCGCGAGACGGCCAAGGAGGGCCCCGCCCCCTTCGTCATCCCCCAGGAGAACTGGGACGAAGCCGCCGACGAGGTCAGCAACATCCCGAAGTTCGATGGCACAAAGGCCGGCACCAAGGAGGGCAGAGGACACATCCTCCACAACCATGCGCCGAACCTCGCGGAGAACATCAACTCGAAGTACGCGCAGTGGATCGCGACCCTGGAGCTCGCCTTCCTGGAGACGCACGCGGCCCCCGTCGAGGACAGGGCCAGGTACCAGGGCAGGGCAGAGGGGTAAAGGACCACCAAGCAGACGATGAAGGCGTCGCCTGGCAGAGCGTACCTCACGGACCCCGAGGCCACCTGGTGGCAGCACCTCAGCACCCTTGTCGCCAGGTACACCGCGCTGGTCACCAACGGCAAGGACCCCGAAGCCTGCCAGCACATCCACAAAACAGTCATGAAAAAGTTTGGACGACCTAGAGAACCCTGAGTTCTCCAAGGAGCACTTCGGTAGAAAAGCCGACCCGCAGGAGATCGAAGAGTGGAAGGCCCAGCTCGCTACCCTCGAGTACTGACTGCGACGAGGACGACCTGCACCGCATCAGCGCCACCGCCATGGAGTGGGCCCACAAGGCCATGGCGAGAGCTGCAGGCAGAGCGCGAAAACGGCACCCCGACTGGGCGAAGCAGGCGTGGAAGGAGTCACCAGGTAAGCTGCGCCGCATGATCACCGACCCCAAGGCGCCGCGCCTGGAGGACAAGCAGCCCCAGAGGACGGTGGGCGACCCATCCACGGTCATGAACCACTCCGCCGACACCTGGCGCTCCATTTGGGCGTCCGACAGCTACAACGCCAAGCAAATCATCAGCGCCTACGAGAAGGCCATGCGACTTGCGAAAGAGGACCCTCTCTCGCCAATCGAGCCGCAGCACGTGCAAGCCATCGCGGGCACCGCCAACCCGAAGAAGGCGAGAGGAGTCGACAACATCGGCCCCATCGACATCCAGGGGCTCCCCGAGAAAGGGATCCAGGAGCTCGCCGGCATCTACAACCATGTGGAGGCCAACGGACTGTGGCCGCAGTAGCTCTGCGCGACCATTGGGGCCATGGCCCCCAAGCCCGCAGGTGGAGAGAGAATCTTGGGCATTCTCCCCACCATCCCCAAGACGCGGGCCAAGGTCCGCTCCAGCGTCACCGACGAGTGGTCCAAGGAGCTCGGGGAGTTCTGGGACACCGCCATCAAAGGCTCAAGCGCCTTAAGGGCAGCGCTGGTCAGGGCGCTGCCTGGCGAGGCGGCGGCGACCTTTGGCATTGCCTTCGCGACCTTGCTGATGGACGTAGAGAAGTTCTACGACTCGGTCTGCTACGCGCCCCTCTTCGACGCCGCCACCGGGGCGAACTTCCCCCCGATCGTCGCGGCGCCCGCTGGAGGTGCAGCTCTACCTGGCGCCCAGGTACTTGCGCATGCACGGCTGGGTCAGCGACATTATAGATGCCGAGAGGTCCAGTGTCGCGGGCAGCTGCAATGGCGGCAAGCTCGCCAAAGTCTACCTGGGGCCGACTCTGCAGAGGGCCCACATTAACCACACATACGCGGGCCTGTGGACGCTCGTGGACGACACGGTCGCGAGAACAGAGGGCCAAACCAAACAGGTCATCAAGGATCTGATCGGAGTCGGCGCCGACCTTTGCGCAGGTATGATGGGCGCGGGGCTCCGAGTCTCCCCCAAGACCACCGTCGTCGCCTCCAGCCAGACGATCGCCCACGCAGTGCACGACGGCCTCAAGCAGAAGGGCTACTACGTCAAGGTGGCCAACAGCGCGGTCGACCTCGGCATCGACGTGGGCGGCGCCAAGAGACGGGTCGTGGCCAAGGCAACCAAGAGGGCCAGGGCTGCGAGGAGGCGCACTCACCGCATCGTCGCCAAGGTCAGGAAGCACGCCTCCCTCGCCAAGATCGCGAAGGGCTTGTGGAACACGGGCTCCAGGCCGCAGGGGACCTACGGCCACCAGATCATGGGCCTCGCCCCAGCGGCCATCCTCGACCAGAGGCGCCAGGCCATCCAGGCCTCGGCGGGGAAGGTCCCTGGCCGCTGTCTCTCCACAGCCCTGGCCGTCGCCATGAGGAAGAAGGACCCCGCCATCGAGCTCAGGCGCCAGTCGATCGCCGAGTGGCCCAACTTCTAGATGCAGTACCCAGAACACCACATGCGGGTCACGCAGGCGTGGAAGCTGATCTACAACAATTCGATCACGCGCGGCAGCAAGAAGTGGAGGAAGGTCCTGGGCCCCATCTCCGCCATCCAGGCCATCCCCCTGGACGCAGGCTGGACCTGCCCGACGCCAACGGAGCGGTCGCGACCACCTTGGGCAGGCGAGACCCACACCCGGGAGTGGCAGCTACCTCACAGTGGACAAACCGACTGGGAGGACAAGCGCTACGACGTGGACTCTGCGGAGTTCGTCCACGAGTTCTGCCTGTCCCTCGAAGGGGCCTCTGGAAGGGCGCTGCCAAACATCCACGTGGAGGCGGATTGCAACGTGGGGGCCCAGACGTCCACATAGTTGCCAACGAGATGGAGAAGTTCACGAGGAAGGGCCAGCTCGACCAGGCGGCCCTCAACCTCTGCGTGGTCGCGGGGGCGCAATGGCCCAGAAGCCGACTCATCGAGACGGGGTACAACGCTACTCCAACTTGTCCGAGGTGCGGAGGGGCCGACGAGACGCCCATGCACAGGGTCTGGCTGTGCCCCTGCAACCGCGACCACGAGGACTACACGGATTCTGACGCCCTCATGCCCTCTGCCCTGGCTGGAGCAGAGGCTGCTCCCGCATGCTGGCTCCACGGCCTGCCTGCGCGCGCTGACACGCACCCGCTCTTTGCTTCATTGGGAGGGGACGGCGGGTGGAGCTGGGTTGGGCGGGATTGGGAGGACTGCGTCAGTAGCGACGGCACCCTCACTCTCTTTGGGGACGGCTCCGGAGGTCAGTACAGTGACGACCCGCGACGCCGAAGAGTGGGGACCGCCTGTGCTGCTATGAGGTGCCTCTTCGGGGAGTGGGTCCCCTGGGGAGGAATCCTGTCGGGCCTCGAGGGCCCCTTTCAGACTGTGCCCCGTGCTGAGCTGCTAGCTGTCGCGCTCGCCCTAGAACACTGGAAGGGCGACCTCTGTTTCATTACAGACCACCTGCCGCTATACGACGGATGGCGGACGAATCGACACTTGCGTCCCTGCGATGGCGCCAATCAGGACTTGTGGGCACGAATTGCCAAAGCAATTCGCGCACGTGGCACTAGGCAGCTAGCTCTCTGTGATCTGGGTGCCCTCACACAGCGAGGAGTCACCTGGCCTAGCCTCAGACCCTGTGCGATACTTTCACAGCTTTCACACTACCAGCAACGCGACGGCCGATGCATGGGCAGGTGTAGCTGCCCAACAGTCCTATGAGGCAGCGCTTGTAGGACAGGCCCCTCCCACAGACCTGCACGATGCCCAGTGCACCCTCATCCGCAGGAGGGCGCACCGAGCCCTAGCTGACACGCTTGCAGTCGACCCGTGGGTCGCGGAGCGACCCTCGCAGGCCAAAGGTCCGCGCCTCACCAAGCTGCAGTTAGCCATGCAATCGAGCCAGCACGCCTTTGAGCTCAGAGCGGGCAAGTACCTGTGCTCTCGATGCGGGCTCACCACTGACAAGTGTAAAGTACGCCAGGCCTGCGCCACGCCGTGCACCCACCAGCCGCCCCTGCCGTCAGCCAGTGACCAGATAGTGCCAGTACAGGGCTGCACGCCAGCCATAAGCTTCATTTCATGCAGAAGTACCGCCTGTACTTCTGCCGCGGGTGCGGTAAGACGGCAACCGAGAGAACCTCGCCAAGATAGACAAAGGAGAATTCACGCGCGCCCACGTTGGGCGCGATGGCCTCACCAAATTTCTGCGCGCAGCTACCCACGGCATGGTCGTGGAAGAAATCTCAGCTTCCGCTGCGCCTGCCGCTGCATGCGCCGCTCATTGTCAGGGCTAGTATGCGTTTGGTATCGCCCGAACTTCGCACCTGGGTGCGCTCGGTCTCTTCCTCTGTTCCTCCTCTCCTCCTCTTCCGCCTCCTCTGTCTCCTCCTCCTCCTCCTCTTCTTCCTCCTCTTCTTCCTCCTCCTCCTCATCCTCCTCCTCCTCTTCCTCCTCCTCCCACTCCTCCTCCTCCTCCTCCTCCTCCTCCTCCTCCTCCTCCTCCTCCTCCTCCTCCTCCTCCTCCTCATCCTCATCCTCCTCCTCAGCGCGGGCGTTCAGGGCCCAGGGTTGAACGCCGTCAGTTGCTCGGAGTCGGCCGACATCGAGCGACCTGCCCCATCGGAAAGCCGCGACCGTGGGCTGCCGATTCCAGCGGTGTCAGAAACCAAGGCCGTGGTCCTCGCGACGCGAACCTGCCGTGCATGAATTAGCATGGGCTTCGAGGGAACGTCTTGATTACACCAGCGCTCGTAAGCAACCTGAGGGCGGCAGCGCGAGCTGGGTGGGCCTACAATAACCGATTCGTGGACGTGGCTGGGCGCGTACGTCCGTTCTAGGCTCATCGTCAGTAGATGGCGGGAGGGCGCGATGCGAGGCGCCCCGGCACCGGCACCGACCTCGGCCCCAGCGTCGGCCCACGCCTTGGCCCCGGCCTTGGCCCGGGCCAGAGCACCAGCATCGGTCCTGGTCTTGGCCTCGAGCGCGGTTCGGGTTTCGGTTTCGGCCTGGGCCCCGGCTCCGGCCCCAGCCGGTGCTGAAAGCGCACCGGCCAGGATTCGGCGGCGCGCCGGGGGGAGGGGAAAAGGGAGGCAAGGCCTCTCCGAAGGCGGCGGGGCTTCTCAGAAGAGCCTTCCGGCATTCTGAGAAACCATTTCTGTCTTCGGAGGAAGCTTCCGAAACTTCTCAGAAGGCGGGAGGCCTTCCGAGCCTTCCGAGAAGGTGCGCCCCCTGTGCATTGCCCCATGGGCTCGCCGCCAAATGATCCACAGGGCGAAGTTGCTGTTCAGGCCCCTCCGAGCCGAGCTACAGGAGTAAGGTTCCGAGCAGACAGTGTGATCTCCCAGGCCCGTCGGGGGAGTGTGAAGCGATGCTGCTGTCTCGTCGCCAGGAAGACGGTGCGTGCTGCAGTTCACGATCTGTTCAGAGACTTCCGTGCTGCAGCACGAGAGAAGGAGAAAGAGAGAGAGAGAGAGAGGGAGGGAGATGGAGAGGGAAATAGAGAGAGAGAGAGAGAGCTACGGAAGCAGGCGGACGACAAGCAGGCAGGCAGGCAGAGAGAGGTGGGAAGAGGGAGAGCACAGAGGAGGCGTCCGGTGAGGCCACCGCGTCGAGGGAAGCCAACGAGGGGCACCAGGGGCGCCACGGCGCCAGCTCAGGTCCGCGTGGAGTCCTGGGAGGAGGTGGAGGAGCTCCTGCGCTCGGGGGAGGCGTGGAAGCGCCGCGCGCACACCGCCATGAACGAGAGGTCCCCTGGGGCCGAGTCCGCGCCACGCTCGGCGGTGGCCGAGAGTCGAGCGTGTCGGACGTGGCGCGGGGGTGGGGGGTCGATCGAGTCGATGGTCGATGCTACATCGGTTTGGCTGTCGAGGGTGGTGGTTGCAGATAGATCGATGAGGTGGTGCTGATGTTGCTGTTGTTGGTGACGGCTTGTTGGCGATGGGAGGAATCAGTGTGATGATGGTGACATGATGATCATCGTCGTGCCGAGCATGGTATGATGGTGATGGTGGTGGTGATGATGTCTGGATGGCGGTGGTGATGGTCATCGTCATGGCGGTTGTGATGGTGGTGGTGGTGGTAGTGGTCATGGTGTTGGTGATGATGGTCAGGTGATGATGAGGATGAGGACGAGGATGAGGACGAGGATGAGGATGAGGATATGATGAGGAGGAGGATGATGATGAAGAAGGACGGTGATGCGGATGGGAGATGCCGGATGCGAGATGGGAGATGATAGATTATCAACGGTCGATCGGAATTGTAAGGGCGAATTCTAGTGAGAATCTACCGTGTTTTCGCCCGCCCTCGCGATTTCGCCTTCTTGGAGGAGCGTTTTTTTTGTTGGCCCATCCTGGTTCGACCATGCCGGGCCAAACCGTTGGTCTGGAAATCAATCCGATAGGCTACCAGTGAAGATTTTCGATTCGATCGTAGAAGCATTCGGTTCGATCGTGGGCGCCTTGGTCATGGGGCAGCTGGTGTTTACCAGGCTGGTGACCGCATTGGCATTGGTCCACTGCTGTGCTTCTGCCTTCCTAGTCTTTTGGGGAGGGCGCCAGTTGGCATTTGCCAGGGATTAGCGAGCACTGGCCCGAGCGCTTCTCGCACGAATACCACAGTCTGGTCGCTGACGACACGGACGGCCATCAGCCCATTCGGAAGTTGCTCTTGTTGGAACGGGCCGTGGGAGGGGCTCTGATTTTCTGCTGGTATTCATGTCTAGATCGGTAAACCTATTCGTGGCCGATGCTGGCCGTAGCCAGAAAAGCCCCTTCGTTCCTCATTCAGCGTTCCTTATGGTAGCCCGGCGGCTGTACGGTCGGGATCTTTTGGTTAACGTGTCATGCCGCCAGTTCTGTCCCACAGCGCATCGTCGCGACATGCTAGCAGGGCATATCGTGTCGCCGAGGCCGCCGCCAAGACACGCTAAGCTAAAGTTCCCGACCGCACACGAAGCGAATTTACTATGAAGACGGTGGTTTAAGTACGCTTCTGCGTGGGGGGAGACCCGAACCCTGTCCATCTCTTACCTTCCAGCGGGGGCGTACGCTAGTCTCCAGTGCGCGGTGCGAGCGCAATCCTTCAAGCCCAAATCGCGGAGGACATCCTGGAACGTCGATTTGAGGAGGCGTGACGCTCAGCGCTCCGAGTCGGGATCTTCTCAGGGGCCGGGGAATTTTTGTAAACCAGGACGCCAGCCCGCCCAAGACACCTTCGCATCAGAAGGAATTCCATAAACATAGACTGTCGACGCTCCGTGCGGATTTCTTGGATCTGCGCTGGGGAGATCCGGGCGGCGCCTCCGGCGCCGCCCCTGGCGCGCTCCGCGCGCAAGGAGGGTGTGTCCACCGCCCATGCAAGAGATACGCGCGGGTCTCCGGAATCTCATGCTCGTGCAGCTCTTCCTTGTTCCACACGAGGGATTCTGCACGTTTCGCTCACCCCAGCTGCAGTCTTCGAGGCCCTGGTTTGCAACGTCCTCATCCGCCTCCTCGTCCTCCTCCTTCTCCTCCTCCTCCTCCTCCTCCTCCTCCTCCTCCTCCTCCCCCTCCTCCTCCTCCCCCTCCTCCTCCTCCCCCTCCTCTCTCCTCCTCCTCCTCCTCCTCCTCCTCCTCATCCTGCCCATCCGCCTCCTCCTCCTCCTCGAGGAGGAGGAGGAGGAGGAGGAGGAGGAGGAGGAGGAGGAGGAGGAGGAGGAGGACGAGGAGGACAGGTCGACGCGCGCCCACACGATCATGGTGCTCTCGCTGGAGCTCGAGCCCGACGGCCGCCGGGACGGGCCGGCTGCGTCCGCTCCGGGTGCTGCAGTTTTCCGGCGGTCTCTCGTCGGTTCTCGTCGGCTTTCCAGCTTCGGGGCGCCTTCCTTCTAAGAAGATGTTTCTCCCCGAATCCCCGAGTTTCGCCCAAAAAGTTTGGCCGTTCAGAAAAATTGAAAAACCCTGGGATACACCCCAAGGGGGCTATTCGGACGCACCCCTATCGAGGATGGGCACCCCCCCATCGTATATCCCAGGGTTGGGCCCCAAATTTCTGGTCCATTCGGAAACCCCACGAAGCCTGGGATAGGGGTCGACATATCCCTTGTTAGCCTTCCCTCTAAGAAGCGGCCTCCTTCTAAGAAGCAGCCTCCTCCTAAGAAGCGGCTGTCCAGCCTCGGGGTGCCCTCCAGCAGCTGCACGGCGCCGAGGGCGTTCCGGGGGGGGCCCAGATCGTCCCGAACGGTCGCTGGAGGGCCGAGGCATGACCTGAACACCGCCAGCCCTCGCGCAACGGGGGTCAGCGCTGACGGGGGCCAGCCCCCCCGTTAGCGCTACAGGGGGTCGGCGCTGAGAGTTAAGTCGGGCATGTCCGTCTACAGGAGGAATATTCAGAAATAGTAAAAACTGTATGGGGACGATTTCTGGGTCACTTTTGAATATTTAGAATTATTTCTGACTGTTTCTGGTTATTTCTGGTTTTTCCGTAAAAATCCGCTTGTAGGAGGACATGACCGACCTAAGCTTAGGGCCGACGGCGCCCACAGGCGCAGGGCGGCGGCCTGGAGCCAGGACGATCAAGATGGGTACGGAAAGAACGGGGACGACACCAGCAGCAGTTCTTCGGCCACGCGCGAACGGGGGGAGGGGCGAGGGGGAAGGCTTCTTAGAAGCACCCCTGCTTCTTAGGAGGCGCGGGCCTTCTCTACAGATGTGAGGCCGGCGCCTTCTAAGAAGCAGCCTCCTTCTAAGAAGTCTTCCCCCCTCCCCCTACCCCCTTGTGCGCGCCGCCAAGTTCTGCAGATGAGAAGAAGACGCCGATACCGCTGCTCGTCCTGAAGAACCCTCGTCGCCACGGTTGGATTCTCTTCGGAGTTCTGGTCAGAGCGCACCTTGGGAGAGTTCCGGGAGTAGCGGTATCGGTGTCTGTTTGCCCCTTCCCCCCCCCCCCCCCCCAATTTTGGCACATTTTGGTCGGGGCTCGCTGGCGGTGTCGCCGCAGACGTTGCCCGTTCGAGGCATACAGTCGCCTGTCCAGCAGCGGTCGCTGCCAGTTTCGGACAGCATGTGCTGCTGGGCGTCGTGCTCGTTTTGTCCGCACGCACCCGCTCGGGCGTGTTCGCCGAGGCCTCCCTCGGCCGACATGGGGGAGAGCCCGCCGCGGGGCCAAATGGACTGCTGGGCAGCTGCTGTGCGCTCCCGGGGGGGGGGGGGGGGAAGGCCGCAAGGGACACCTGCCGTGTCGGGCCCTCCGTGTTCCCAGCCGTGCGAGCGGGCATGCTGGTGTGGCCGCTTGGGCCTTCGGATGCACTTGGCGCGTGGGGGCACGGGATTCGTTGCGACGCTGCGGGGGACGCCGCCCGGGCGTGCGATGGGCGTGGCCCCCAGCCAGGCCGCGCGCACGCACCCGCTGCAGCCTCGCTGCGTGAGCGCGCCCCCGCGCCTTGCCCCCCGCCCCACCCCCCCCTCTGCGGCCGCCTCCTCGCCTTCCCCCCCCCCCCGCTCTTGCCTGCGGGCTCGTTCGCGACACCGTGCCCCTGACTCGCGCAGACCCGTGCGGGTTGCCTCTGCAGCACTGCGACGTAAAAGTGACGGGGCGGTGGCCACTCTGTGCCTCCCCCCCCCCCTCCTCCCTTCCGCCCTTCCCTCCCCTCCCTCTCCCTCCCTTCCGCCCAGTGTCGAAACACCGAATATTGAAATCGCTCACATGCTGCGGAGAACGCCTCCCAGACGTGCGAGGGGGATGGTCACTCGGCGCCTCTCACCCCCCCGCGCGGGAGAGGCCGCCTCTTCCGCGCGGCACCGCCATACTGTGGGGCCCCCGCGCGCCCCCGCCCACTCTCTGGAGGGGAAACAACACACAGAGACACAATTCATCGTCGACTCCCAAGAAGAGATGGGAAACGAAAGGAGGAGGAGGCGGAGGAGAAGGAGGAGGAGGAGAAGGAGGAGGAGGAGGAGGAGGAGCAGGAGGTAGGAGGGAGGAGGAGGGAGGAGAAGGAGGAAAAGGAGGAGAAGGAGGAAAAGGAGGAGAAGTAGGAGAAGTAGGAGAAGGAGGAGAAGGAGGAGAAGGAGGAGAAGGAGGAGGAAGGAGGA